CCCCAAAACCCCAAAACCCCATGTTACACTAATAGGTAGAAATAAAATGAAATTCGTAGAAATATTTATTAATCATGATAGCAGCAACAAGTAGCTAGTAGAATCTCTATAAAATATGCGCGAAATTAGTTTAAGAAAGCCAGAATATACTTATTATGGCAGGAGCAGGTTTTGGGGTTGATTCTGGACTACCAGATTTTAGAGGGCCTAATGGGTTTTATAAGGCATACCCATATTTTGAAAAAGTTGGAATGAATTTCTAAGATGCAGCAAATCCTTAATTTTTCAAGAAAGATCCAAAAAGATTTTGGTATTTCTATGGCCATAGACACATGCTATATGCAAATACAGAACCAAATCAAGGTTATATGATCCTAAATGAATGGGCTAAGAATGATTTTGGACCTGATCATCACTTCGTATTTACAAGTAATGTTGATCATTAATTCTAAAAGGCTGGAATTTCTGATAAAAATATTTATGAGTGTCATGGAAGCATTTTTGTCTTTCAATGTGATAAATGTAATATAGTAGAGGAGAGACTAGATGAAAAGTTTGAACTAGATGAAAATACTTATGAGACTGAATCGATACCTGAATGTCAGAAGTGTCAATCGTTTATGAGACCCAACTGTTTGATGTTTGGAGATTTTGATTTCAATGAATAAGTTTCTGAATAATAAGATTAGCGGTATAAAGCATGGCTAGAAAACATCAAAGATCAATCACTGTTGATAATAGAAATAGGTGCAGGTTCAGCAGTACCAACAGTAAGGTTGAATAGTGAAGACGTATTAACCGTCCTACGAAATAAAAATACCAATATGATTAGAATCAATCCAGCGGAGTAAAACGTTTATAGAGCGACAAAAAAATGGATAAACATCATCGATAAAAATATAGCCAATGAAATGGTAGATTCTGATATTTAAAACTTGAACTTAGAAATGAGATATTTAGTATAAGTAGAAGCTGGTGGTAAAGACACTTTAGTAGCTATTGACAATATAATTAAAAAGTAAATTTGATTTAGTTGACGATTAAACGTTTGCATTTCCTTTATTGTACATTAAATTAATCTGCCGGGGTTTTGGGGTTTTGGGG